TCTGCCTTAAGGCAGAGGACAGGAGAGCAGAACTAGTCCTGCGTAAGACCCTCCAGGCCGTCTCGTGGACCATCAAGGCGGCGGTGACCGCATTCTTCTTTCATAGGTCCACCGTCCTTCTTCCGAATCATCGGTTAATCTGGGGAGTCACCAGGAGGAACAGAGGGCGTGTCCTCAGATTTACCTCAGTCTCCAGGCAATTGGGCAGTAACAATACCCATTCAGTGACTGCTCCCTCACCATCCTTGAAACATGCAGTTCAGGTAGGACCAACTGACTTTTTTTTTTCCTGGAATACATAAACTTTGGAAAGCCGCTCTTTTTTGAAAGTAGTCTAAAACAATCTGCCAGTTAAGATACAATGGAAAAAAATCATATGGTTGCTGTGTTGATGAAATAAGAAAAAAAAACCGGTCTGTCTACTTTCTAGAACTATAGTGAAAGTAGATGGAGTTGAGGTAATGAAAACGCATCCCATAAGAGATCTTAATTGCAGCATGTGGGACGTGTATATGAGCCTTGGGTTGGAAAGAGATTTTTCTAAGGCCCTGCTAAATCGGGTTCAGAATCAGAATCGAGTTGGAAGGAACCTTGAAGGTCTTCTAATCCAGCCCCCCCCCCCCAACAGACGGGTGGCTGTTCAGTCTCTTCTTAAAAATCTCCAGTTTTGGAGCACCCACCATGTCTGAAGGCAAAGCTGTTCCACTGGTTAATTGGCCTCACTGTTAGGAGGTTTCTCCTTAATTCCAGGTTGCTTCTCTCTTTGATTAGCTTCAATCAATGGTGGGTTCCTACTGATTCGGACCAGTTCGGCTGAACTGGTAGCAGTTTGGCAGCCTGGGTCACTGGAACCAGCAGTGACCCAGGCCTGCCACATCCCTGAGCCAGTTCCCCATCTTGTTTTTTGCTTCTGCACATGTGGGATTTTCAAAATTTTTAGCAAGGAGTTCTCTACCCAATTGGGTGGGCATGGCCATGGTGGGCATGGCCTAGTCAGCCTCCTGCACCATAATGGGAGGGGAAATTTTTGCCCTCCCCAGGCTCCAGAGGCTTTTCCTCAGCCTCCAGGAAGGTGAAAACAGCCTCTCCAGGCTCTAGAGGCCTCCTGGAGGCCGGAAACAGGTCCGTTTCCAGCCTTCCCAAATTTCTGGTAGCCCCATTTTTCACACACACACC